GGGTGTGCTCCCCATGCTAATGAGCTGTGAGGATGGTGTGCTCCCTGTGGTGGTGATCTGTGAGGATAGCGTGCTCCCTGTGGTGGTGATCTGTGAGGATAGCGTGCTCCTTGTGGTGGTGATCTGTGAGGATGGTGTGCTCCCTGTGGTGATAATCTGTCAGGATAGTGTGCTCCCTGTGGTGGTGATCTGTGAGGATGGTGTGCTCCCTGTGGTGATAATCTGTCAGGATAATGTGCTCCATGTGGTGGTGATCTGTGAGGAGGGTGTGCTCCCTTTGGTGATGATCTGTGAGGAGAGTGTGCTGCCTGTGGTGATGATCTGTGAGGAGGGTGTGCTCCCTGTGGTGATGATCTGTGAGGATGGAGTGCTCCCTGTGGTGGTGATCTGTGAGGATGGTGTGCTGCCTGTGGTGATGATCTGTGAGGATGGAGTGCTCCCTGTGGTGGTGATCTGTGAGGATGGAGTGCTCCCTGTGGTGGTGATCTGTGAGGATGGAGTGCTCCCTGTGGTGGTGATCTGTGAGGATGGAGTGCTCCCTGTGGTGGTGATCTGTGAGGATAGTGTGCTCCATGTGGTGATGATCTGTGAGGAGGGTGTGCTCCCTTTGGTGGTGATCTGTGAGGAGGGTGTGCTCCCTGTGGTGGTGATCTGTGAGGATCGTGTGCTCCATGTGGTGATGATCTGTGAGGAGGGTGTGCTCCCTTTGGTGATGATCTGTGAGGAAGGTGTGCTGCCTGTGGTGGTGATCTGTGAGGAGAGTGTGCTGCCTGTGGTGATGATCTGTGAGGAGGGTGTGCTCCCTGTGGTGATGATCTGTGAGGATGGAGTGCTCCCTGTGGTGGTGATCTGTGAGGAAGGTGTGCTCCCTGTGGTGATGATCTGTGAGGATGGAGTGCTCCCTGTGGTGGTGATCTGTGAGGATGGAGTGCTCCCTGTGGTGATGATCTGTGAGGATAGTGTGCTCCCTGTGGTGGTGATCTGTGAGGATGGAGTGCTCCCTGTGGTGGTGATCTGTGAGGAAGGTGTGCTCCCTGTGGTGGTGATCTGTGAGGAAGGTGTGCTCCCTGTGGTGGTGATCTGTGAGGATAGTGTGCTCCATGTGGTGATGATCTGTGAGGAGGGTGTGCTCCCTTTGGTGATGATCTGTGAGGAAGGTGTGCTCCCTGTGGTGGTGATCTGTGAGGATGGTATGCTGCCTGTGGTGATGATCTGTGAGGATGGTGTGCTCCCTGTGGTGGTGATCTGTGAGGAGGGTGTGCTCCGTGTGGTGGTGATCTGTGAGGATAGCATGCTCCCTGTGGTGATGATCTGTCAGGATAGAGTGCTCCCTGTGGTGATGAGCTGTGAGGAGGGTGTGCTGCCTGGAATGTTGGAACATGCCTGTGAGGCCAGCATTTTGGAAGCTAAGGCAGGAAATTACAAGTTCAAAGCCAGCCTGAGTTGTGTAGTGAGACCCTGTCTCATCAACAAGCAAAATCAATTTGAAAAGAAGTTAGAGCTTACATTATTTCCCAGATGATGCCAACATTCTCCACATAGAAAACAAACATAAATATTGGCAAAGACAGAGTTCTAAACAAATTTCCAGCCAAAGCAAGATAGAGAGGTACCAGAATTTTTGAATTCTTGTCATGTTTTAATTTCCTTCTCATTTTATACCTCCATGTGCTTCTTTCACAAAGTCTGGACTGCTCACTTCATAAAACCATCCAGTGATCCAAGGACATAGGCCTGAAGAGGTCTGTGAGTCCAGCCAGTCTTGACCATTCTTCAGGATGTGGGGGACCCAGGCTAGTAGGCACTGGTTTGCCTTCTGATCTTGCCTCCAAATGTATTTTGCTCCAATTCAGGAACAGATGCTACCTTATAAAGGACATTCATTTAGTAACCAGGAAAATATGGCTCATGGTTTTTAATTATTTTTTTTTTTTTTTACTGTGGGCTGTGTTTTGTTAAAACTCCCAGTGGTTCATCCCTCATGTGAGAGTATTTGGAGCTGTGTTTCTACATTCTAGGAAAAGAAAAAAAAATTACTTGAATTTATATATGAGTCATTTTTTAATTTGTGGAGTAATAACTTGTGATAAGGCAAACTGCAGAAGATGGGGTGGGAGGATCCTGAACAGCAAATGAGCTTTGGGAAAGAAGAAATCACCAAAGCCTACACATACATGAGACTTAACTGCCAAGAGCAGGTATCCATAGTACATTCTGGTGTTCATTGACAGATAAGAACTGTCTAGTGACACTTTTGTATGGATGTACTGCACAGAATGATTAAACCCCAAATCAAAGGCATGTTCTTCAAAAAAAATCAGAAACATTCTACATGTCAACAGTGAGTTTTCATGGTCTAAGAAGCTGATACCAGTGTCTGTCTTCTGGTCTTCACTGCCCTTGGTCTGAAACTGATAACAAGAGATCAGGGTGGATCTTGGTGCCAGGCAGGCTTCTGGGGTGTTTGGAACAGTGAGCTCCTGAGCATACATCCTGTGCCTCCTTCTAGGATTGATGAAAACGGTTGGAACCCTATTTCTGTTACTTGATCTAGTTACTTTGGACCCACCTATCTACCTTTTGGGTTTCCTTATCATGATGATTCTGTGTTTGCCATCTACCCAGTGAGCACCCACTCACCATGTGCAGATACTGTGCTGGCCGTGGGATACTCAAATCTTACTTTTAAAAATCCAAGGTTATTTTGTAAGAATGTTAGCCACATTGTAATGCCATAATGAAAATTCTAAGTGATGGTATGTTCAGCCGTATATAGACAGACTTTGTCATCAGGAAAAGCAGCCCTTGGGTGGGGAGGGCAGGATTCCACTTGTTCTCCCACAAGGAAGGCAGGGGCTGTCCTGTGGCTTTGTCTCTTTTCTTCATTCCAATCCACTCCTCAAGTCTCACAGGGACACCCGTGGACTGGGTGCTCAAAAGAAGGTCTTTCTGCAACAGCTGAGAATGGCTCAAGCCCTCCTCCATCCCAGATGACCTCCTGGCCTGCAGCTCTTAGCAGAACCTGCTGTTATGCTGGGCTGCACCTGAGTTTGGCATCCTGAGAGCTAAGGTCCTACTCGATCCTAGGATGTTCACACTGAACCCTGTTTCCTTCATATTCCACATCTCAGTCTAGGTGGCCTTTAACTCCATAGCTCCTGTCTGCTCAGGTCATTTCTGTGCATAATGTCTCCCATTGTACCAGATAAAGTCAGAGACTTCTGACAGCCCCTAGGATCTGCCTCAGCCTGCCTGTCTCAGCACACACACATGCATGCACACACACACACGCACACACACACACGCACACACACACACACACACTGAGGTGTGGGGTTCCCTGTCCTTTCATATCCCCTAAACCCATGGCCCCTGACCTCTCCCTGCCCCTCACTGTCTAGGCACACATGATTACTTCTATCTGGAATGTTCTCCTTGTTCCCCACCCCTCACCTGCCAACATGTCGTCTTGTTCTTCTTTACCATCTTTCACGTCTCACGTGGGTGCCGCTCCCAGGCTGGCTGTAGGTTGGAAGTCCTTCCTTGGTTGCACTCACAGCACTGGCTGCTGTGTACTTTGTTCCCAACGTCCAGCACAATGCATGCTGGTTTAAGTCTCACTAGCAAATAGCAGCTAAGCAAAGCAATGAAGAGCAGAATCCACTCTCAGCACAGTGGAAGAACATTGTATTCTCTGGTGTTGAAGGGGGATGGAATGTCTTGTTAGGTCAGTTAATCTAAAAAGTTGAGAAGTACATTCTGGAGAAATCATGATCTCTACTTCTGGCTCCGTGTGCTAACGCAAGATTTCTCTTTGGGGAAACACAGCAGCTATTCTGACATATTTCCAAGATGGCCATTGTCCATCTGCCCATCTTCACTTTCTCCAGAACACTTTGCCTTGAAGACACCTTTAAATCAAACACATGTTTGAGAACACTCCATCGAGCACCTTCTTGACTTGGTGGCATTGAGACCAGCTACACAGATGCACTTGTGTGTTCATCCCTTTTCCCCCTCAACATGTATATATTTGGTACCTAGTTCAGCACTACCAGAAGTACTTGGTAAATATCACTCAATCAGTGTGTACCATATGGCAGCTGACAGCACAAGTTCTAAAGCTACATCACCAAAGCATTGCTACATATGGTGTGGCCTCAGGCAGGTCACCTGACTTCCAGGTTCTTGGTTACTACCATTGAACTGGGATTACGAACAGCATCTACCTTGCAGAGATGCAGCAAACACTGAATGGGAGACTTAGCTGGCACAGAGGAAGTGCTCAAATGCCGACTCAACAAAGGAGGAGGCTGCACAGGGCTGGAGATGGAGTGAACAAACGCGCCGCGCTGGCCAGGGCGTGCATTCCTGACAGCAGAGATAGACACACAGAAAAAGCCATCAAATGGGAGTGCTGTACAGGAAACCAGCAGCACTGCAGTGCCAGGAGTGATATGAAGGGAATACTTCAGATACGACAACGGAGAAAGGCCTCTCTAGGAACACCACCTAGTAGGAAGGTGAAGGAGTCATCCTCATGGAAAGCCAGGCACAGGGCTAGCACATTCAGTGGGGGAGTCTGGAATCTTCTAGAACCATCCACATAGGCCAGTGTGGAGGGAGGGTGAGCCGGGGGAGGACATGACCACCCAGGGGCTGTTTCGGTCCAAGTGCAGTGAAGAGGAACTGAGAGCTGTCAACAGGGGTAGCCCTGAGCCCAGGGACTGGCAGGGCTGTGAGCTGAGAGGGAGGAAGTGGGGCCAGGCAGCAGGGGCATCCAGAAGCCCCAGCGCAGGCTCTGCTACCAAGCCTGAGTCCCTCCCAGTGCTGCCTCTGAGTGCCAGCCACAGGCGCCACAGTCCCCCGGGGCCTCCAGCCACCCCACCTAATGCCCCATCTCCTAGGAGATGGGTTCCAGAGGGCCACATGCGTGACCCTCGACGCCCCACGCCAGCCGCCGCCACACTCATCCTGTTGTGTTGTCCTTGTTTCCACAGAGGTCTCATTGGGAGCAGCTTCACGGAGACGCACTACCTGCAAGACGGCACTGATGTCTCCCTCGCCCGCAACTACACCGTGAGTCCTGCATGCGTCAGTCCACAGCTCTCCACGCCAGTGAACCCGAGCTTACACTTCCCAGCCCCCTTGTGCTAAATAAGCAAGTCTCATGGTCTGGGCATTCCATAGTGCCCCAGGAAAACGTGGCCTTGACCATGTGTGTCAGGAGAGCCTTGGAAGCCAGTGGCAGAGCTGACCTTGAAACTGCCATCCCTCCCCCACCAAGGCCTAGGAGGTGACCATTTGGGCCCAAACTAGAGATGTCTTAGAAACAGTCCTATCTGGGCTGAATATTGTTACACTGAGGGACATACCTTAAAGAAAATGAAAGGAAAGTAGACCCTACTTACCTACTATGAGCAGCTCCACAACGTTAAAATGACTTTACGTCAAGACTATTACTGCCAGGCAGAATGGCCCATGCTGTAATCCCACCTACTGGTGAGGCAGAGACTGAAGGATCTCAAGTTAAAGACCAGCTGCTGTAATCCCACCTACTGGTGAGGCAGAGACTGAAGGATCTCAAGTTAAAGACCAGCCCAACCGGGTACCAGTGGCTCACGCCTGTCATCCTAACTACTCAAGAGGCTGAGATCTGAGGATCATGGTTCAAAGCCAGCCCAGGCAGAAAAGTCCATGAGACTCTTATCTCCAATCAACCACTAGAAAACCAGAAGTGGCACTGTGGCTTAAGCGGTAGAGTGCTTGCCTTGAGCTGAAGAGCACAGGGAGAGTGCCCAGGCCCATAGTTCAAGCCCCGCAACTGACAAAAAAAAAAAAAAAAAGACCAGCCCAGGCAAAGTCAGCCAGCAAGCTCCTATCTAAACAACAAAATACAAAGTCAAAAGGGCTATGGTTGTGGCTCAAGAGGTAAAGCCCTAGTCTAGCAAGTGTGAGAGCCCTTATTTCAATCCCAAGTATAGAGAGAATAAGAGGAGGGAGGGAGAGAGGGAGGGAAGGAGAAAGGGAATATTGCTATGATACGACATTTATCACTTCTTCGTCTCATTTCTGATACAAACCCTTAAGTGATGAAGAGGCATAAGGCAGACTCTGAAGACAGCTACCTGGTTTAAAGAGCTATAGATGTTGATTTTAAAAACTGTGATGTAGAGGCAAGCATTGCATTGTGTTGCGGCTACCGAACAGCCCTGTTGTCTTCAGGGCCCTCTCTGTCTCTGTGATGCCAGCACACTCTTACCTCTTAGGTACTTGGCGCTTATGTACCAATTGGTCTCCTTCCCCAGATCATAGTGGGATGGATGGGGTGGGGGTGCAGGTCTCCAGTCCCAAGAAGACAATGGAAATCTTAAGCAAAGTATAAACATACACATATTTTTGTCAATACCTGAGGCAGAGACAAAGGGGAGACCTTGGCCCACAGCACTGGTTACTGAGTTAGGGCTGTAGGACCCCAAAAGGCTGCTCAGGACCCAGAAAAGTGCTAGGAGTAGGGCAAGAGAAGCAGAAGATGCCATGAGAAGCTCACAAAATTTGAATTCTAGTATGAAGCTAGAATTCAACCCATAGAAGGCCTTGAGGCTGTCTGCCAGTATCCCAAACTGAAGAGATTGTACTGAGACCAAAAAAATGAAGCCTCTTCTAGCCCAGTGTGTGTGTTGGGAATGGATTAGGCCTAGGTCCAAAATTTTACTATCGCCCAAAGAATGACATTCCCAGGCAAGATACTGACCTTGAAGCTGGTTCCAAATCAGTGGGGCTTCCCTGCGCCCAGGCTGAAGTCCCCGAGTGTCTCCATGGAGATGTGTCCATGTCTAGATTACATGCAGTGCTCCTGCAAAGAAAGAAAGGGATAATACTAATGCTGAAGATGAGTCCCAAGTCAAAGTTGCAAACCACACAATGAACAAGGCCTGCCAGAAATGAGCATCGGTAGACAGATGTAATGTAACGGGAACACAAAGTGGTAGCAAAACCAAAGAGGGAATTTTAGAGAACAGAAAAGACCTATAGAAATTTAGCAGTATAAAAGCATCTTGAGAAATAGGAAGGAAGCAGACTGTGATAAGAATGAGCCTAAACTTTGAAGAAAACCCACCAGATTCCCAAAACAGGAGAAATGATATGCCAGGATAGCTTACAGAGACACTGAGACCAAATGAAACAAAGGAGACATTAGGGGAAATTGGTGGCAGTTGAACCAACTCTAGACTTCTCATTAGCATGGCATTAAAACTTTGGAAAGAAGAGAGAAAATTATTGTCACATTCAATTTTATTTTGGAGATATTTTCCACAGAGAAAGGTAAAATAGGAATGTTAGTATAAAGATGAGAGAATTCCTTGTAAGATGCTCACAAAGGTTATTCAGCCAGGAATAACTAGTGAAGAATTGCTGGGAATTGCTGGGTGCCAGTGGCTCACACCTGTAGTCCTAGCCACTCAGGAGGTTGAGATCTAAGGATGACAGGTCAAAGCCAGCCCTGGCAAAAAAAGTCTAGGAGACTCTTATCTCCAATTAACCAGCATAAAGCTGGAAGTGGAGGTGTGGCTCAAGTGGTGGAGCACTAGCATTGAATGCAAAGTTAAGGGAGACTACTGTGGTGCTGATTTCAAGCTCCCAGTACCAGAACAAATAAAGAGATGGCAGGATACTGAACAAGAGACAAGGGAAGTGTATCAGAGCAAGAGGAGGGAAAATAATTGCAAGTGAATAAATCTGTCTAAAATAACAATTACAGCCACAATGGCTACATTAGAGTATTTTAAAACGAGACAAAGAAGTAGCTGTAGGCAGCTTAATAATTTGTATTAAACTAAATGCTAATTAAATTTGAACTTTGATAAGTAAAATATGCCCTGCAATTTTAAGTATAACACTTTAAAGAACAGAAAAAAACCAGAATGTATAATTCTAAGTAATTGAAAATGAATAGAAATAGTGACATTGTTCGAGATGCACAATATTCATAAACTGTTGAATGGCAACTCCTTTGTACAACTACTTAAAGATAACAAAAATAGTTTGAAAAGAAAGAAATAGTATATCAATCCAGTAGTGGACATGAAAGAAGGAAAGGAATTTAAACAACAGAATACATATAAGACATAAAATGAGAAGATAAAAATGAGAAACATATTAATCTCACTGAATGCACATAGTAATTTACTTGTTAAAATAAATTTAATATAAATCCAGCCACATACACTTTACAGAATTTATACCCCCAGTACAAAATGCATATGGAAAGAAAGGAGAAAGAACAGACAAGCCTTAACCCAAAGAAAACTTCTAGGAACCTGCTGACATCGCCAAGCTAAACCTTGACAAGGGGAAAGGCATTATTAGGTATCCAGGGGGCATTACATAATGATGGAAGGACCAGTTCAAAAGGATGATGAAAGAATTATAAAACCAACCAGATGTGCCAAATACATGAAGAAATAATGGAAAGAATCCAAGTATAACTTCTAAATCTAATTATAGATTAACCTTGATTTGTTAGCCCAAATCCTAATTAAAAGATTTCTTCTGCTTCTGCTCCTTCTTTCTCTTCTTCTTTTCCTCCTCCTCCTCCACTTCCTCCTCTTCTTCTTCCTTCTCTTCCTCCTCCTTCTCCTCCTCTTCCTCCTCCTTCTCCTCCTCTTCCTCCTCCTCCATCACCAGGTGAGGGAGGAGGAGATTTCTTCAACTTCCCAGTTTCCCTGCACACTCACAGGTACTTGAGATCCACACATGAAAAGCATCCAAGGCTGCTTTAACAAGGAGAATCTCAAGAGGTCCATTTATTTTAGTGTAACAGAGGGGGGAAAAGTCGATAGAAATGAAAACAGGGAGAGCCATTTCCTAGTCCTCATACAGGAAATGGGAATACAAGTGGGCATGTCTGCCTAGCAGCCCTAATCACTAGACAGTGGCTGAGGATGGCTAAGATGGCTGCTTTTTGTTATTCTGAGACATGGACATGTGACTCAGGCCTACTTTACACACAGGAAGGAGATAAGAGTTTTCTTCATCCATGAGTGGATGGGTCTAACCTCTGAGGAAGGCAGATAGATACCCAGGACCCTTGAATGTAAGAGCAGTAGAGGTGATGGGAGGGAGTTTGCTGCTCCGGTTTTTCCATTTTTATACCCTGGTTCTAATGTCCCTTTTAACAATTTTTGGTTTTAATTTTCCTGTCTTCTTATCTATCCTGCCTCAGTAGGTTTACAGGAAAAAGACTCTCCAATAGCAAAATAGCACTTAAACTTAGCAATTTATAAGGAGAAAAAAATATCTAAATTGGTATAATTTATAAAGCAAGGGTCCAAAAATCCCTTAACACACCCACAAACCAGTCTGGGCAGAAAAGTGCCCAGGAAGTGTGAGATTCCACTTCCAATCAACTAGCAAAAAAGCCATACTGGGGATGTGGCACAAGTGACAGAATGCCAGCCATGAACAAAAAAGCTGAGCAAGAGTGTAAAGACCTGAGTTCAAGCCTTGGTACTGGCACATAAAAAAGAAGAAAAAAAGAAGGGAAGAAAGGAAGGGAGGGAGGGAGGAAGGGAGGGGGCAGGGAGAACCTAGAAATGCTTCAATACTAGGCTCATGTGCAGTCTGCAGCAAGGAGGTTATCAGAATAGATCAAGAACATGTAAGCTGGGAACTCAGAGAGATTTTAATGGTTTCATGTCCTGTTTTCTTTCTCTTAGACATCTTCCTCTGCCTCCCCCCCCCCCCCACCACTACCAATTAGAGAGAAAAATGCAACGAGTAAAGACACCGCAGAAACACATGCTAGATAAATGAGGATCCACAGCTGCCAGGCTCTGGACTTGGGTCACAAGGCTGAGGGCTACAAACCAGGCCTCTTAGCAAACAGCTGGGATAGAAGTTTCCCAGATCCTTAGCGGTCCTTGTCTCCATGAGTCATGGGATTCTGCTTCTCTGTTTTCTGACATGTGTGTGCAGAGCCAGGGACTTGAGTCTTTCCTTCTCCTCATCTTCCCACAGGTAACTGGGTGGGAAGGTCCTTCCCCAGAATGGGTCTCAAGACCTTGGCTGGTAGGGGG